GCCCAATGTTGGCTAGCCTCAGGAGGCATGATGTAATCTATCAGCCATGTGAGGAGGCCGGTAAGAGCCCTGAACCCTAAGTCAGGTGAGTTTCCTGGTTGACAGCTTCCTTGTTGGGGAGAGCGTCCTGGTTGACAAGAACACCTGTTCTCAGTAAGTCCGTGTGTCCTGGGGATGTAGAAGCTTCATGCTGGGAACCCTCCCAGACCCCGCCTTAGGCATCACTTCATTAGTGTCCCCTTGGGCTGTAATACATAAATAAGTCACAAGTAAGATATCCCATTGCCATTGAGTCATAGTGACCCTACAAGACAGAGTAGAACTGCCTCATTATGTTTCCAAGGCAGTAACCTTTACAGAAGCAGACCGCCACATCTTTCTCTTGCAGAATGGCTGGTGGGGTCAAATCGTCATCTTTTGGTTGGCAGCCAAGCACTTTAACCACTATGTCACCATGGCTTCTTAAGGATGATATGTTGTTGTTGTCAGGTGCCGTTGAGTCCGCTCTGACTCAGAGCGACCCCGTGTCCAACAGAACGAAACACTGCCTGGTCCTGCACCAGCCTCACAATCCCTGCTACGCCTAAGGCCATGGTTGCAGCCACCGTGTCAATCCATGTCATTGAGGGCCTTCCCCTTTTTGCTGACCCTCTACTTTACCCAGCATGATATCCTTCTCCAGGGAATGGTCCCTTCTGAAACATGACCAAAGTAGGGGAGATGAAATCTGGCCATTCTCACTTCCAAGGAGCATTCTGGCTGCACTTCTTCCAGGACAGATTTGTTAGTTCTTCTGGCAGTCCATGGTACTTTCGGTACAGCCTAATGCATTTGACTGCTAACTAGAAGGCTGGCAATTCAAACCCACCAGCCACTCCACGGAAGGAAGACTGGGCAATCTACTTCCATAAAGCTTCAGTGCCTCAGGAACCCAACGGGCAATGGGTAAGTATGATATGCTCCCTGTGAATTGTGAGTGGTTCCAGAGAATTATTGAAACCATAGGGGGCTGGGGTGTCATGTGGACTCCCCAGACTTACAGCCTATTAAGTAGTCTGATGGATGGTGCCCTTTCAGCTTGTGAACTCTTACCTAGCTCCGGGTGGCTAGGGTCAGAGAGAGAGCCATGGGGGTGGTTGGTGCTGAGGAGGGGTAACTGGGAATGTGAGGACTGAATCAAGCCAATCCACGTTCTGGGGACTGGATCCATGATGCTCAGTCACTGTGCAACTGGCGTTCAAGAAGGGATTTGCCCCCCACTTAGCACATACACTTCAAATAAAACTCAACCCCCCACCCTGGCCAGGCCCCGGCCACCTGTCCGCCTTACCATCCACTCTCCTCTTTACCCAAACTGCCCGCCCAGAGGGAGTTCCTTGGAATGCTCCTTGAAAATGCTAAGCTCCTTCCCTCCTCAGGGCCTTTGTTTTTCTTGTTCCCCTCACTTAGAATGCTCTCCCCAAGGATTTCCACAGGCTGGGCCCTTCTCCTGTTCAGGACTCTGTTCAGGGCCTCAAAGAGGCTGCCTGGTCACTCACTCCCACACTAACGTGTTTTAGTTCCATGCTCTCCACTATTTGGAATCATCTTATTTACTCATTAGCCCTACGAGAGCAAAGCCTTTGTGTGTCTTGAACACAGCTGACTTCTTGACTTTTACTGGCGTTTAATAAACATCTGTGCTGGGAAAGGAGGTTCAAAAGGGGAGGGGTAGCAACAATATCGATCGATTGGTCCTGGGGTAGACAGCTGGAAAAGAGTAGATCTCTAAAATCTCTTCCCAAACTAAGATTTGGTGGCCATTTGTGGGACAGTACGATGTTGTCATCCAGCTCTTGCCATACTCAAGTAAAATGAGAACAAGGTCAGTGGTTCCCAGACAAGGAAGAAAATCCTCCCATGTGGAGAGGAAAGGCTGGGTTACAGAGAGGAAGCTGGAGGGGAGAGCCGGGAGTGAGGAACGCACAGTTGTACAGCACGGGCCCAGCCTGACTCCAACCTGCATGCGTCACCCTGGCCCTCCTTACAGGACGGGCCAACAGGCACACTGCACAGTTTCACAAGAACCTGAGCTAGGCACTAGGGATGGAAAACACAATGAGTAAGAAATGGTCTCTGGGCCTCAAAAAGCTCACAGTCTAGGTGGAAAAGGGGGCGATTGGGACAACCACTACAGCAGTAGCAGTGGTGCACCATGAGCGGTACCTTGGCAGGGAGCAGCTCCGACAGCACGTTAGAAGGGCCGGGGACTGGCGGGGGGGTGGCCAGGGACAGCTCTCCAGGCCCTGGTGGGGAGCAAGGCACTGACATCCGGCCTGAGTTCTAAAGGTGAACAGGGGACAGTGTGTGCAGCAGCGTCAAAGCCAGGAGAGAATGAGGTGTCAGAAATGCTGCAAGGCACTGCAGTGAGTGAAGCACAGGGTGTGAGGGGGAGGCCCAGGCCGGGAAGAGGTGAGCTGAGAGGTGAGGTTGCGGGGATGGGCCATGGGCTCCATGGGGCCTATGTTACAGAGGAGGGAATGTATTCTGCAGAAACAAAGCTTAAGCAATGGAAAGAAACCAGCTTTGCACCTACCTGGTACCTTTCATGAAAGATCCACCAGAAGCTATCCAGGAATATGGCTCTTGGGGAAGGCGAAGAGAGGAACTTCACCATTTCTTTATCTGTACAGAAAGACTTGAAAAGAAACACAGTTCATGTCCTTATTGTTGTTGTTATTGATCATGGTTTGAAATTCACCTGGAGCCCCAGGCAGGGTCATTTGCATCTGCACTCAAAAGCTGTTGTCCTGTCTCCTGGCTTGGTGACTCACACCATCTTCTTCCTAGCCATCTTTGGAGGTGCCATGTGCAATCCACTTACACACACACACAGAGCCTAACCTTTCACATTATCTCACTTAATCCCCACAATACTTGCATGAGGCATGCATTACTATCTCCATGTCACAGGTGAGAAAAATGAGGACCAAAGAGGTGAAGCAGCTTCCCTAAAGTGACACCCAGGGTGGGCAGCCGTAACTCTTCACAGCTACTCCACTCCACGCCAGCTGCCTCTAGCTCTCACTTCCTGCTGTTCAATTAACAGCCAGTTAACATCAACAGACACTGATATTACTCAAAGCTAACTCACTAGGCCCCAGGATCCTGCCGAGTCGGGAATTCCAGAGTCCCTGGGTGGTAAAGACAACCACCCACAGACAACATGGTCGCCAGCTAAGCAGGAGGCTGGCGGTTTGAATGCGCCCAGAGGTGCCTCAGAAGAAAAGCCTGGTGACCTGCTAATGTGCTGGTTAGGTGCTGTCGAGTCGGTTCCAACTCGGGAACGAAAAGCTGCCCGTGACGGCCCCGTGCTCACAGTCGCTGCTACGTTTGAGCCCACTGTATCAACCCATCCCCTTGAGGGTCTTCCTCTTTTCTGCTGACCCTCTACTTTACCAAGTATGATGTCCTTCTCCAGGGACTGGGCCCTCCTGAGAACACGTCTAACGCACATGAGATGAAGCCTCACCATCCCCACTTCTAAGGAGGACCCTGGCCCTCCTCCTTCCAGGACAGACGGGCTTGCTCCTCTGACGGTCCACAGCGACCTGCTACTGAACAATCAGCAACTGAAAGCCCAGGGAACACAGTTCTACTTGGATGCATGTGGGGTGGCCTGAGCAGGAACTAACTCAACGGCAACTGGTTTTGAACATGGAATGTTCTCAGTGAATGCAGAGGCAACACACTGAGGTTTCAGTGACCCTCACTTGGGCCCTAAGCCTGGCTCTCACTCCAAAGCTGCTGCGGCCGTTAGCTGTCACCAAGTAGACTGTGACACCTAGTGACCTACGTGAAACAGAATGAAAGCGTGCCCAGTCCTGCACCATCTCCATCCCCGGGGCTATGTCTCAGCCCACTGTTTCAGCCACCACGTCAATCCACCTCACCGACGGCCTCCCTTGGCTTTGCTGATCCCCATGTTTCCAACCATGGTGTCCTTTTCCAGTGATTGGTCTTCCCCGATGACATGTCCACATTAAGCGAGCCAAAGTCTCGCCATCCTTGCTTCTAAGGAGTATTCTGGTTTGTTTCTTCTAAGACCCATTTGGAGTCTAAGACTTTAAGACTCTAAAACGACCAGGGTAATGCTGCTACATTCATTGAGTGATGACCATGAATTTGCCACTGGGTGATGCGGTCCAAATGCAGGCAGCCTCGTTCCAGAGACCCCACCCACCCTGCCTTACACTAGGAAGGACAGAGGTCTCCTCTCACCACCTTCCAGAATGCAAAGGGAAGACTCCTTGGCACTCCCCTGGGGCCTAGGAAAGCTGAGGGCAGCCTGCACGGATAAGCATGTCACCCTCACTAGCAAGCAGCCACCACTCCTCAAGCTTCTTTGGCGAAGTGGTGCCATGGAGTGGTTAAGAGCACAGACTTTGAAATCAGTCTGTGCCCATTCAAATCCAGCTCTTTCACTTAGCTGTGTGACCTTGAGTAAAGTTAATGACCCTCTCTGTACTCAGTTTCCTCATCCAGGAAATGGAGATGTTGAAAATAGTCCCTTCCTCAGGGTCTGCTGTGAGCATTAAATGAGTGATATGTGCAAAGTGCTCAGGAGTGTCAGGCTCATAAGAAATGCTAGATAAACGATGTTAGTTAGTTCTTGTTTATTCACACCACTTCTTCTCAAGAAGGATTTCATTTATGTCTTAAATAGATATGCATGGAGCATGTACTAGGTGCTCAGGAAGGGTAATGGGAGTCCCTGCCCTCAAGGAGTTCACGGGTAAAGAGATATTTACAAAACTGAACAGTAGGAGAGGAGTCTTAACATTAGGGAATGTGGAGCCCAGAGGAGCCATCTAACTTGTCCTGACAGTATCAGAGAAGGTTTTAAGACTAAAAGTAATTGGATGAAGAAAGAGCTAGGAACTTCTCAGGGAAGAGAAATACCCGGGCCAGGGGTTGTGAAACCACACGGCCTATTTGGGTGGGTAGTGAGAGAACAGGAAGGAGCCGGGGGTGCCTGAGTGCAGGGACCCAGAGTTGTTCGGAAACTGGACAGGGGAGAGCAGTAGCTGACCCGGATGGATTTTCAACGGGGTAGGAACATGGTGAGACTGGTGTTCTAGAGAGATCTCTCGTGGCAGTGCAGAAGATGCATTAGGGAGGAGAAAGGTGGGCCACAAACTGGGCAGCAGGTGCAGTGATCCAGGCAGGACATCGAGGGGTGTGAACTTGACACTAGCAGTGGAAGGAGGAGGAGAGACAGTGAAGACAGTAATTAAATCTGAGTGTGGTAGCCTGCATGCTGGAAGCTATGATACTGGAAGCTATGACATGACTATCTCAAACACCAAGAAGGTGTTTGTCCACGGTGCACAGGTTTCAGTGCAGCTTCCAGACTAAGGTGTTTGCAATGAATAAGTCGTTGGTCTTGCAAAATTCTATCATGCAATCTCCAGCGTCATTTCTACCACCCAGGCTGTATTTTCCATCTACCAGTGATTCTTCTTGAGTCTAGCTTTCACGTTCCAATCACCAGTAATGATCAGCACATCTTGATTGCACGTTTGGTCAATTTCAGACGGCATGAGTTGGTAAAAATCTTCAATTTCTTTGTCTTTGGCTTTGGTGGTTGGTGCATGAATTTGAATACTAGTAGTAGTAATTGGTCTTCCTTGTAGGCATATGGATATTATCCTATCACTGATAGCACTGTACTTCAGGATAGATCTTGAAACATTCTTTGTGATGATGAATGCCACACCATTCCTCTTCAGTTTGTCATTCTCAGCATGACAGATCATATGGTTGTATTTTGGTTACTTAGTGCCACTCCTCGGAAGGAAGATGGGGCAATCTACTTCCATAGTGATACTGCCTCGGAAACCCAAGGAGGGGTCGCTACGAGTCGGGTCCGACTTGACGGCACATAACAACAACAACAACAACAGTGCCACTCTGACAGAAAATACCACAAATGGGTGGCTTTAACAAACAGCAGTTTATTCTCTTACAATTTTGGAAGCCAGAAGTCTGAGTGCAAAGTGCCAGGCCCTAGGGGCTGGGTGAAAGCCCCTCGACCTTGGCTTCAGCTCTGCCTCTTGCTCTCGACCCACTGAAACTAGAAGCATTTCTTCAATCAGGCAGCTGCTAGCTGCTGAGGCTAACAAAACCAAGGTCAATGAGTGAAAAGGCACAGTCCCAATATAACCAAACCACATGGCAGGCCATTGATTCAAGTCCATTAAGTGTCCCAAGATTGGCAGGGCAAGGCAGGCTGCTAAATGAAGACTCGGCTACGTGCAGGATTCAAGCGTGCCAAAAAGCTGTAGTCCATTCCCAAAGCTTCTCCTTCTGTACGGGAAGCAGCCCACATCCCTAAAGCAGCTACTCATCTGCTCACAGCAGATTCCACCATGGAGTTGATTGCCAGTCTCATCATGGGGAATTACTACCATCAACTGCTCAACCACTCAAAACCAGGCCCAGCCAAATTGACATATAACCTTAACTATCACAGGTTGTCTGATTCAAAATGGCCCAAACCAGTCCATTTTAGCTAATGCCTAGGATATTGAGCTTTATGCATTCCATTTCATCTTTGACAACTTCCAATTTTCCTAGATTCATACTTCATACATTTCATGTTCCAATTATTAATGGATGTTTGCAGCTGTTTCTTCTCTTTTGAGTCATGCCATATCAGTAATTGGAGGTCTTGAAAGTTTTACTCCATCCACATCATTAAGGTCTACTCTACTGTGAGGAGGCAGCTCTTCCCCAGTCATGCTGTAGGTGCCTTCCGAACTGACAGGCTCATCTTCCGGCACTATGTCAGACAATGTTTCAGGGCTATTCATAAAGTTTTCCAGTAATATATCAGACAGTATTTCACTGCTATTCATAAGGTTTCCACTGGCCAATTCTTTGAGAAGTGGATGGCTCCTTTCTTCTTCCGAGTCTGCCTTAGTCTGGAAGCTCTGCTGAAACCTGTCGACCATGGGTGACTGTTTGGTTACCTTGTGCCATTTTAACAGAAAAAAATACCATAAAATGGATGGCTTTAACAAACAGGAGTTTATTCTCTTACAGTTTTGGAGGTTAGAAGTCTAAGTTCCAGGTGCCAGGCTCTAGGGGCTGGGTGAAAGCCCCTCAACCTTGGGGTTCAGCTCTGCCTCTTGCTCCCAGCCCACTGAATTTAGAGGCATCTCTTCACTCAGGCAGCTGCTAGCTGCTGAAGCTAACAAACCCAAGTGAAAAGGCACAGTCCCGATGTTACCAAACCACACAGCAGTCCATTAATTCAAGTCCATTAAAAGTCCCAAGATCAATAGGGTAACAAGGCAGGCTGCTGAACAACAACTCAGTTACGTGCCATCAGCTGGACACCTTCCTCAAAGTTGCTTCTTATATCCTGGAAGCAGATCACATCCTTAAAGCAGCTACTCAGCTGCTCCAGTAGATTTCATCATGGAGTTAATTACCAATCTCACCATGGGGAATAATTACATCCAGCTGCCCAGCCATTCAACCAGGCCCAACCAAGTTGACATACAACCTCAACTACGAGAGTAGCTAATGGATATGGAAGAAATGACAAGATAAAAAAAAGCTGAACAGATTTCAAAGAGCAGCTGGAGAAGACAAATAATGAAATGTGCAAAGACCTGGAGTTAGAAAACC